ATTGTGCAGTTATTTCGAATATTCGACACCAATGTGCAATTAATACCGGAAAATTTTGATACTTTCCAATGAAAGGAGTACCAATGAAGATTTTAATAATAATAAGTGGACTGTGGTTACATTTGAGAGGAATTCTTAAAGTAGTAAATCTGATCAACGAAGATTAATTGAGTGCAACAAGTTGATCATATGCCCTTTAATCATATGACAAATATATCATTATAATTAACTAATATATTCCTAAACAATTTATGAGAGTGATGAATATCTTCTAATCTCATATCAGTCAGCTAAACAATTTCATTAGCTTGCGAAATACAGGGACTCGTTCAGTGCGAGAGTGCTTAACAGAGTCATTGATCATAATTGTAATTGTCGTTTAGAAATAACAGATAAGATATTAAATTGTCTGTATCAGACGACTCATTGGTGAGGATATAACGCGCAGATAAACAACATCCTATCCGGCTAATGATTTCCTTCTGATCCATTGAAAACATGAAGTTGACGCGAATTATGTGAATGGCTAGCATGAAAACTAGTAAGTGCTCTCGTATTATTTCACATATCCAACACCAATAGAAAAGTACAGATAATGTTACTAAGAATTATAAGTCCGTGACATACTATCTTTAATTAACATTTCCATTAGCTGGTGTGATTAGTTGTGTGATTATTTTTTAAAAATTTGTATCATTCAAGTTTCATCACTGTTTGATAAACATTATTTTTGTTATCAGCACATTATTACTGCAATCATCATCAATTTTATAATTTCAATAGTGTACCAATGGAACGGATTGCGAGCGAATGGAACGTGAAAATGTTTTGACATTATTTTGATGTGCATGAATCGTGTATAATTTGATGGAAGTTGTTTTGTTCATCCGTAATACTTCACGTAATTGGGCATCGTTCCTTATGATCATCTGAAAAATAACTTTTTTCACATCTGACAAGTTTGCTTCGTTTTCAATTCTTTGCAGCAGTGAATTCGTGCTGAATGTAAATGAACTAATTCAATTCTTGTTCATTGAAATGCACAACCAAATCAGTCTCATTCGTTTTTGACATCGGACTGCAATATCGGGATATGAAAGCCCATTGATAATCACTATATCCTGTTGAAACCTCAGAGAAGACTCAAAATGAGCAAACGATAACACATCAGATAGATAAACTGAGAATAAATTCAGAAAAAAAAAAGAGAGAGACTCAAATGAGAACTTATAACATTGTTACTTGATGGCCACGGTAACTGAAGTACGCTAACAAATCATGAAAGCCCGGTTGCACCAAGTGAATCTCCTTCAGTAATAACTGAAAATATTCAAAAAATATTTCTGATGACNNGTACGTTTCCTTTTATTTCTGCTAATTTCACCGAAACAAATCGATTCGTCGTCGTATTTCAAAAAGCCATTTATTTCGCAAAAGCATCACCAAAACTAATCCTTGTCACTAAGTCGGATTTATATTTTGTTTATCGGCATTAAGAATGAATGAAAGTGGGTAATGAAATTGCTTGCTTGCATGCGTCAAAATGAATATTCACTGCATGACTGCTGCTGATTGAATGAACGGATGCATACAACTGAACGCCAGCCAGCATCCGCATTGTTCTGCGCACAATTATTGAATTATGCATAAGTGATTTTATTCATTCATTTCCTTTTCTAAATGACTTAGAGGAAGGTATGAACAAAAGAGAAAACAGATCGCCGCTATTGTGAATGGAAATATTGTGCATGTGGGTAATTATTGTTCGATATAAGCTATCTTTGATCCAAGTTTCAAGGAACAAAAATATTACCAGTGCTATTAGTGAGAATAATATGAAGAGAATATAATGTAAGGACAAAATAACAATTATTCTGGCATCACAATGGAGCAATTTCATGGCAATAGTGATGGCAAAAGTGGAAGGAGCAATTTATGAATAAATAATTTGACAGTGATGTGAATGAATATAACGAGAGTGTATAATGACCATAAATATGATAACAGTAATGCCTTAACATTAGTAAGACTAATAATGATAAGTTCAACAGAAACCCAACAGCAGCTGATAACAAAATTATGATAAATGGGATACCACTGATAATAAAAATGATATAAAACACTGAGGGCAATGATAACACTGAGAAGGTACATGAGTGGATATCACGCTGAGACGTTGTAATTGTGAGGTGATTCAATTAAATCATGGAGTATAACAGCTAGTCATTGCTAAATTCCCATTTTCTCGCTGATAAATCAAATCGGAATTTGATGGATCAATCGGAGAAAATTGATCAAAACTGAAAAGTGATCAACTCACCATGTACAGATCATTATCGCTTACGATTTCGCGTTCTGGAATGACAATCTTATGCTTTACACCGAAATGATTCCATTTGATTTTGACGTTTTCCATATAATTCATTGCATTCAAATACTGAAAATTTTCAGCGAATCATGAAACTGATTCGATTTCGTTCAGTGAAACATATGACGCAAATGAGGCACGCAAATGATTATTCAGTTATAACATTGGCAATATCATTAATAACATTAATACAAATAATGCTAATCATGTTGACAGTAGTAATACTACTAAGAATAACAGTGATTTAGTAATGTGATGCTAACTATATAGGTACAACGCATTATCGTTACTGTTCTTATTCCAGTAATGGTCACTACTGGCATATTATCATTTCAATGAATGCCATAGCATTCAGCTCAGCATGATACCAGCATTTACTTACTTAATTTACTCATCTCTAAATGATTAGCAATAAATCGAGAACCATTCATATAATTTATGAACAAATCAAAAGTGAATGATTCGAATCTATTTCATGATTTCGCTATAATTTATGAGAGGTTCGAATGCGGAAGTATACCCGACAATATAGACTGAAAAGAGCCATGCAAGGAAATGAAATAACAAGTAATTAGGTTTTTGTTTGTTTCGTTCAAAATGAGTTCGGTTGAAGCAATGACAATGAGGATATGATATAATGAATGCTAGTCCAGATATATCTATTATTAATATTTTTATTATTAATATTATTATTAATATTATTATTATTACTATTACTATTATTATTATTATCGCTAGCGTATTTTTATCAATACTATTATCATTGCCATAATTATTATGATCGCAGTTATCATTGTTATTCTCGGAATTCTGGTTGCGGTGACGTGCTTGCTTAACATTGTATGACAACGGTGGATGCATTCTATTGTTCAAACGCAACAGTGCATACGTATACTCATTGTGGTCATGCGCAAATAATTAAATTCCTAGTCTAACATTAGAAAACAATAAAAGAATATTTTACTCACTATCGAGTAATCGAGTATCGAATCTCAGGCTAGTGCAAATCCGCAAAATACACTCGAAACTAGTCGAACTGGTTCGTTCAGCTTGAAAGTATTTCCAGCTCAATCGTTGAGTTTTTATTAGGTGTTCCTCTTGCGATGAGCACGAAACTATCTGCGTGATCAACAGTATTACTCATTTTCCAGAACATTTAGTTGCTGACTTTTGAAATAATAACTTGAGAAATATGACGATGGATTTGAAATGTGAAACAAATAATTGGATACAAATAGCCGAATAACTACTGAATGAATGATGATAAGAAGAGATTAGTGAGAATTACGAATGAATGGATTTAGTCAAGTGATTAGTAATATGAGCATGAATGAATAGATGAAGAATATGAGAATATGGAATGATATTTGTAACAGATTCAGTTCGACGATCAAGCACAAACAATTCCATCGAGCGCGTAACAGATTCACATTCATCTATCATCATAATTTTTGAATGTTTGTCACGCCTCTAAGCGATCTGAAAATGTGAGTTTTGCTACACTATTCTTCCCGAGCGATATCACTGAATTCAGCTTGATGTATCGTCGACGAATGAAAACGATTCATACTTATAAAGAAATAAAGATCTTTTGCTACAATTTCTATTCGAATGAAATTTCAATAGTAATTATCCAACGCTGCCGAGGCGTGTAATTCCATTGTGATGAAGTGTGTAACAATGATATCATTGCAACAATATGATATCATTGAATTTCTCATATGTGATGCAATGAAATGAAGCGGTCGGCCTAACAGCAGTTCAAGTGGTGTCTTTGGCATAATATATTCCGAATTTCATGCTGGCAAAAATATCTGTATGGCCAATTTGTTGGGATAATATTGATGACTGAATTGAAGGATAAAACCATGCAATAGAATATTTATTTGTCATGAACGATCGCGAAAGAAATAGTGTGATTGTAACGCATATACGATCATAATGACAATGATGAACTGTAATGCAATAGTTACAGCAATTCAGTTTGATAATATCAAATTAGAGAACATCAGAACGACGTGGGCAAGGGCAATAGGTGGCGTCTGAGCCAGGAAGACCGGGCTGACCTGGTGCTCCAGGCGATCCGTCAGCGCCAGACGATCCTGGCTTACCGTCCATGCCGGAGAATCCTTGGAATCCTTCCTCGCCATCTTCACCCTTCTCACCATATGAACCTGGAAGACCGGGTGCTCCAGGCGATCCCGGTGGACCTTTCGGACCTGGTCTTCCGGTCACACTGTTGCAGTCTCTTCCTGGACGCCCCTGAGGACCATCCTCACCAGGCCTACCTGGAGAACCGTTATCTCCTGGCGGTCCTTCTGGACCGGCTTGTCCCGGTCTACCTGGTGACCCAGTAAGGCCAAAATCGCCACCGATGCCTGGCATGCCTGGCTCTCCGTCTAGACCCGGTGGTCCTGGAGGTCCGGCTGGGCATCTTATGCATGCCTCGTACAGTGGAGGACACGTGACTGGTGGATACGCTACAGTGTTGTCCACACCTGGTGGACCTGCTTCACCAGGAACTGAAATACAAATTCTTTACACATTTTTCGATGGAACACTGAAAATTTGTGAATGAAATGAGTTTTCTAAAATGACTATCGAGTCGAATGATTTCTCAAAATGAATGCTAAATACGGGGATTTCAACATGTTATTTTTCAAGCGAACAACTGCACAATCGAAGTCAAATTTCTCGCGCTTCTATGCTAAAACAATTTAAGCCATTCATTTGTCATTGAATAAAATTGAATCGTTCATCCATCATGAAACAATGCTCAATCGTAGTCTAATGATTCAGCAAAATTATGCGTTCAGAATCGCTTAATCGTATGGTTTTCGTTTGAAACTTTGTAGGCTTGCTCACGTACTCTATCAAGTTGAGTGGTGCTAAGCAATTCACTGATGATAGTAGTCATCGAATGAGAATGAACACTCAATGCTTTTTGAATGAGGGGATAAAATTTTGCTGTGAAACTAACTTCCATCCTCGCCCCGTGCTCCTCGAGGTCCAGCTGGTCCAGGTGGACAGTTCACTTTAATTGGTTCACACTGGCACCAAGCCGGAAGACCGTCAAAGGCAGATTGACGTTTCGAACGGAAAATACTATCGAATGGATTTTGACGGGGTTTCCCGGGAGGCATTACATTCACTTGGATATCCATCATTTGAGACCACGCTGAATCGGTCTCAACACGGAATATCTACAATTGAGATCATTTTCATCATTTGACACTTCACAAAATCGTTGATCTATTTCATGGAACTATTATTATCACAACGTTTGATATCACTGCTATTATTATCAGCATAGCATTTCTTTGAGCATACACGAAGTAAAGTTATGCGGTCACCGTGGCCTCAAGAGATGAATCACTTGAATAATATTGTTTAAAAAAAGAGTAAATGAAATCAGAAATATTTAAAATAACCTGAACATCATCAATTACTCGATTATGCACTCGATTGATAATACTGTAGAGCGATGGTATCATCAAAATCGAGATTAATATCGCGCAACTACTGCAGAAAGTTGAGATAAAAATGCATACTTTAATCTCATTCATGATTCTGTTCCTCTCTCCTCTTAATTAAACGAATACAATGGACACCGAACGAACCACAACGTCAACTCTGAAATAACACTGACTAATGAAGCGTTCCAGAATGCTTTTTTATACGATCTGAGCAGGATTTGGAATGTATCTTATGCATTCGTCGAATGGAATTGTTTCATTGATGTGACCTAAATACATAAACTGCAATTGATGAAATTGAAATAGACTCGCTTGAGATAATCAACTGATTTGAGAGATATCAATTGATGATTTCTTTGAGGAGATGTTGCAAAACTTGTTCTTTGCGCTTACTTTTAATCTCCTTCAGAACGCATGAAATTCGAGTTCTTACAGAAAATGCGTGTATGGGGATAGCACTTTGGTTTGTTCACAATAATCAAGTTGTTGTCATTGTCAACATCGCTGTCATTGTTAATTGTTTTAGTGGAAAGTGTTCATTTGAATTGCGACAAAACGGATTGATGAGTTTGGTGAATATCTCTCACAATGCGCATGCATACAGAATGGCAATGAAACGACAATCATCTACTGTTGAAACTCCTTGATTTCATTCTGCAATATAATCGAAAGCAAATTATGTATGGGAAGAAACGTTCGATTTATCCTCAGATAAATGATTCATTAGTTTATTACTGTTTCATGGTTAAATCTTATCCAAGTTTGGGTAATTTGGATAACATCAATCTGATAACATATTGGTCTATAGTGAGCAAATGCATAACAATGTGCAATTCAGCGCTAGTTGAGATAGCTTTAATAAAATAGCAAGATCTCCTCAACAAAGCAAAATCGCTCGACAAAATATA